AAAGAAAGAAAGAAAGATAGATAGATAGATAAATAGATAGGTATAGACAGATAGATGGATAGGCCAAAAAGCCAAAGCCACAAAAGCCAAAAGCCACAGAAGCCACGAAAGCCACGAAAGCCAAAAGCCACAAAAGCCAGAGGCCACAGAAGCCAGAAGCCAGAAGCCACGAAAAACAAAAAAAACAAAAAAGAAACAAAAAAACAAAAACAAATGCCCCTCCATTCGGAATTCGTCTGCGGAAGGACCGGTAGGCGCTGTTCAACTGTAATGGGTTCATGACCACTTGGTGTCACCAAATTAGAAAATGTGTTCGAAGGCTTGAACTCAAAGTTCCTTTCCAAGCCACCCGCAACAACCTCATCACAGTCTACGTCGCTTCCGGCCCCCACGCCTCTGCTTTGGCTTCGCCAAAGCAGCGCGCTGCCGCTGCTCCGCAGAGCTGCTCCAGCACCGAAGTGGCAAACCCGCCCGCTTGCGCGCGTTTGCCACAGCGGCCCGGAGCTTGCACAGCTGCAGCGGCAAGCGTGTGGCATGGACCTGCTCGCGCGGACAAAGCTTAACCTCTTGGCGGTCAACTTGCTGAGGGTAATCTTTTTTCGTTTCTTGTCGCACCCTGTTTCTTGAAAACTTGTCTGGTACTTGTGAAGTTGACGACCGCAACTAGCTTCGAAACGTGCGCCTCAAGGGCGCCTTCTTGGAACAGCGCCACCAGATCTTCCGCCTTTGGCGGAAGGCGGTCCTGCAAACACGGTCGGATCAGGCTGAAAGAAAAAGGCGAGAGAGACATCAGGCTCAAGGCCCTGGTCGCGCTGGAAATTTATAGGCAAACGCTCCACGGCTGTTGTCCGATTTATACATGAAATTCTATTACACACCATGTTTGAATTTCTCGCCGACTACAGCAACAAAGGTGATCGGGCAGTTCTTTCTACTTCATGGTTTGTACAAGTGGAAGTGGAAGTTGATGAGCTTGGCAGCTTGGACATTTCTGACGCGTACTTGACTGCACCTCAGGTGGGGCCGTTTCGTTGAATCGTGACCTTGCATGAAGCAGGTATTGAATTTCAGCGAAGATGTGCATTGGAAGCTCCAGGTAGAGGAATGGAACCAATCGTTGGTTTGACTTGTCTTCTCGGGTGCAACGTGAGCTTGACTTTGAAGGTTTCGCCGGAGTACCTCCGATTTTCAAACATCGTCAAACATCGTCAGAAACTCACGGCGATCAATGTTCATGCCAAGTTTGTCGTTTGATCGTGCGGAGTCCGTCATTCTTGTCCTCCACAGCTTGCTGCGCCACAGCCGCCGCCGGCGTCGCGGTGCCAGGACCCCTGCCCTGAGCACCAGGCGGGTCTCCTTTGGAGATACCCACGCCTGGAACCCACCCTGAAACTCCATTCTGCCCTTGCAAAAGAAGAGTGCTGTTGGCCAGGCAAGTCTGCGGACACATGCACGGAATGATTAGGATTCTGTTTTGCGCGTACAATCCCGAATCCACATGCCCAGGTTCCTGTCACACTGGGTGAGAGAGAGGGTGAAAAGAAAGGGCTGGGGTTCTCGGCTCAGCCCCGCGCCGCAACTGAATTCCTTCTGTCTAGAACTTGCCCAATTTCAATCGGCAACCATCTAGGCATCACAGAGAGGGTGAGAGTGTGTTGGGGTTCTTGGCTTAGCCCCGCGCCATTCACCAGACAACGTGTGTTGGTGCGCCCTGAAGCTAAAACAAGGCAGGATCTTCTTCCAGTTGGGCGCAACCCTTCATTTTTGCAAGCTAATCTGTCAAGAAACAATTAGGGATCCTTCTTCACCTCGAATCGAAATCACCTGCCCGGGCCACCACTTGTTCCCTAACGGGCCCGCCTTGCAGCTCTTCTCTGCCTGAGCGCATCAGCAGTCTGACTTTCAAGCTGTTGGAAAAAACACTCTAAAGTTAGAGATGCTTTTTGTCCACGCAGTCGGGTCCACTCTAGACAAATACAACACGCGCTCGCGCGCACATGTAAACACAGGTGGATTCTCGCTGCCCCTTCTTGGACAGTTCATAGTAGTGCCCCGCGCCATACACCCAGCGAGAATATGTTGGGGTTCTCGGCTTAGCTCCGCGCCATTCACCACAGAGAGAAAAAGAGAGTATTGGGGTTCTCGGCTCAGCCCCGCGCCATACACCCAGCGAGAATATGTTGGGGTTCTGGGCTTAGAAAGTCTCGAAACAAAGAGAGTATCTTGGGAAAAAGAAGGGGTCGTCCTCTTACAGCTCTGCCGCGCGCGCTGTCCCGTCCCGGGGCCTTTGTTCCAAGGACAGGCGCTGAAAAACCTCCCACGGCCTGGCCAACTTCTTGGCAGCTTGACGTCCCCGCCGTTCAGCAGCGCAGTGAAGGTGGCGGGGAACGTCTTCCAGACGGCCTTTTGCCAAGCGACGAGCTCAAAGTCGTCCATCCTCGAGAACGGTCCGTCAAACCGGCCCTCTTCTCGCAAGCCTCTGAA